CACTGGCGGTAGCCATTAAATAATCGTCTTTACAACAAGTTGGGCTCCAAATGCAGCTGGCAGCAAGCTGGCCTTCCGGTCGGCTCTCCGCACAGCCGCGCCCACATCATTGCCAATTTCAGTGACAAGAAAATGGTACTGCTGCGTGCCATCTGCAGCCTGCACACAGCGCCGCAAGCTAAAACCAGCTCACCAAGCAAGCTCTGATGACGTGAGCTGACCCGCCCCTGCATGGTGCCTTCACCTGCACAGCTGGCAGAGCCGCGGTCAGGAGTTCCAGCAATACGATTCCGAAAGAGTAGACCTGCAAGGAAGCAGGGCTTTTGATGTTGGGCATGCGTTCTGACCTCAAATTCGCTCATGTAGTCTTTAAGCCCTGACATTTGTAACCTTAACAATTTTGAACAAATCTAGAGAAGCAGGTCGGGGAATTTCAGGAACAGCCGTCCTCGGAAACGTATATGTAGCAAATGGCGCCCGTTTCCAGTTGTTTCTAGTGCGCAACCCCGGCCGACTTTAGAACTCTTCTGTCGCCTCGCCCTGTTAGAGCTGCTAGATATGCGCTACTACGGTAAGGTGCCTGGTGCAAGCCTTCCCAAAGAATTGAATTAAATCAAAAAAACAACTCCGTGCAAAGTGGCCGAGGCCTACTTTGCAAACCATCCGCCCTTTGGCCCCCAAAAGGCAGCAAAATGGGAGCCCCCACGTCTGGTGCTGATTACCTTCAAGCGACAACTCTGAAGATCGTTTTTTGCTAGTAACAACTGCAGCATTGTATTTGCGGTTGCGGTTGGGTATTCCGGTGTCCTTGTATGTCCTTGTCTCGCCTACTTCCCATACTGACCTATCGATCCTCTTGTAGTAATGATTTCGAAGGCCGAAGAGTGGTTGCCCATATTACACCCTGTTGCAGCACTACCTACAGTGCACCAGCACACCAGGAATGTGGGGCCTCGCTGCCCTCGGTCACCACGCCCCTGTTGACGTAGTGTGGGCATGCGTAGCCCACTGTTCCGGCTGCCTTCTACTGAAGCAGCATCTTATTACTGGATTGGACTGCAGAGGATTGGCCACACGGAGTGTACTGCGGTGCCTGATTCACCTTCTGCTCCTTGCTGTGAGAGCAGCAAGCCAATCCCTCAGATTGCCAGTGAGAGGCCAGTGCAGTGACCAGAAGAAACAACCTTTGCTCGGATGCCGGCAAAGTCGGCAATCTTGGCCGTGCCGTTTCGGTCCTCGAATTGTGACAACTCCGTGCAGGGGTCAAATGCTCGACAGGATGACGTGACCCTAGCCACAGTTCGCCCTGCATGCTACGGCCAGAAGAGCTTGGCCCTGCGCCAGCAGTATGTTGGGGCACTTGATGTCGCGATGAAACACCTGCTTTCGCTTACCGTCGGAATCCATCAAGCCATGCGCAGCACATTGAAGTTCTAAGCGTGTGCCACTCCTTGCAAGCAACCCAGTTAGCCGCTAGCCTTTGGCGTCGAGTTGTGCAGGTGTGAAAGCCCTGAGCTCTGAAAACCGTTTGCAAAGCTAGGCCAAGGCACCTGGGGCTCTTTGGCAGCTTTGGCTCAGCTCGCGGCCACAGGACGAGTCGTAAGCGACGCTGATGCGCTCAAGCCAAGTAAACTGTACCTCAACCGCTGGCAAAGACAAGGAGCTCTAGCTCCGGCGCGCTCCCAGCTTCAAGAAACAATTCGGTAGAAAGAAAACCCCCCAGCAAAATCCTTAGTCCCTGTAGGGGGACATTATCATGCTTTTCTTCCTCATCATTTTACAGGGGCCCAAGTACAAGGTGCAGCTTCGGGTACTTGTCGGTACTGGAACTCTCTATGAAGAACAACAAGAACCTAGCCCCTTCCAAAGGGAACACTTAGGCGGGGCAGCAAGCAATGGCTTGCCAGACCCAGCTTCGTGCAATCGACAGAGACGTTTTGATTGTCGTTCAATTATCGTTTGTTTGCCCCAATTTCGATCACAAATACGCAATCGCGCTCAACGTACTGCTTCTGTTCTAGTTCGGACACTATCGTTTTATTCTCTTATTTATCGTTTTACAGGGGTTGGCAGGCTGGCTCTAACTTGTGGGCCCATAACTAGTCCTAATCAGGGAATGTCGGCCACCACATGCAACCAGGTCCTAAATGAGAAAGCCTGCCTGATCAGTGCAGACTTACTCTATTTGTGGCATGTCTTAGTCTTGAATTACTTGCGGGAAACCCCGACAAAAAGCCCTTCTTGGGAAAGTATTAAACACCTGCACAAAGGGCACGTTCTCAAGGATGCAGCGCTGAATCCGCCGGAAGAGGTCACCCCCCCCCAGAAGCTCGTAAACCAGGAAGCGCTGGGGCCTTCAAGCCATGCTCTGGGTCAAGCAGGAAAGGATCCCGTGATGATCAGCAAAGCACATCGAGCAGCGACATCGCCACGTTGCAGCACCAGTTTGGAAGATTGCACCAGCGGGGGTTCTGTAAAAACTGGCCAGAAAATGATTCAATGGCTAGCGGCTTGCACATCAGCATCATCATCAGCATCAGCAGCATCACCACTGCTGCCACCATCACCACGACCATTATGAGACTTATTGCTCACATGACACATACCATGATGACCGGAAGTCCTCTCATGATAATATGATGATTCTGAGAATGGGCATGAGGATCATCCCAATAGTCAAGCTGTTGTCATTCACTGAGCTGTCGTACTAGAGTGGCTATACTTACGCTGTTCCACTAGGCTAAGGCAGTTCTGGGCCACCGCTCCCATTGCGGGCAAAGCCCATGAGGATGACCAAGTTTGGATGCCGGAACTTGCTCAGGACACGAACTTCCTCCTGCAGGAAAAAATCTGCATGGCTTGAAGGAGATCTGCAGGTTCACAACTTCACACCTTTGCCAGCCACACTTCTGCCCACTTGTACATGTCGCTACGACAAGATGCAGGCATACCCGCAAATGAGCGCTCCTCAAAGCCGTCATCATCTCCTACGTCCAAGACCTGACAGGCATAGGAGTAAGCTTTTCAGCCTGCTGCCAAGGGCATCCTCCTTCCCGTCGACAAGAAAGCTGTGCAGTGACTGCACCCATAGTACTTCGCAATCCACATTGACACACATAACCTGCACAGAACCCAGGCTGACAGGTTAGCACTGGGGCTGCGGCCTTGATGGCCGTCATTGTGCCATCCTTCTGACAGCCTTTGAAGACTCCGCCGAACGAGCCATAGCCTGTCTGCTGATCATGGTTGTCTTAAGTGATTCTGCCAGCATCCATAGGCATTGCAGAAAGTAGAGAAGGCAGGATCTTCAACCCTTCCACAAGAATGCGAGGCCTAATCGAAACTTTTCGTGGAAATTGTGGGTGGCCTGCATGCGCGGCAGGAGCTCAATTTATGGTGCTGCGACAAAACAAGAAGCTGATGCATGCTCGTTGCATCCCATTGAGCGGTGCCTGCAGTAGCTCCGCGAAGGAATACCTCGGTTCACACCCACCCCCGAATAGGTTCGCCCGTGCACCACGGTTCATGCACACATCCGTGACCACGCCCTACAAAACGGGAATGGCCTCTCATCCCAAGAAGCGATTTCAAGCCGAGGGTCTCCAGGCTCAACTGGTTCACCGTGGTCGCCATGACCATGTGTGTGTCCCAGACACCACATGCTTAGTTCGTCCCCGCAGCCCGCTTGCTGGCTTAGCTTGGATGCCCAAAGTCATGTGACGTTTCATACTGCTACATTACTATATTCTGTGTCAGGCTCACATCGTTTGGCGCAAGTACATAGTACATGGCATAGTGGTCCTGGCGTAATTACTTGGAGCAAGTTTTGCAGTATGAGACGATGCTCCAATGGAACTACAATCGTAACTAGCCGCAACTCAAAGCTGGAGATGGCAGCCAGAAAGAATGGAAGAAAGGAACCGACCGCATGCATGTACCGAAAGAGCCGGCTAGAACCTGCTTAGAAGATCTCTGACAGAGCACACTTTCCGAAGCCGCGAGCTAGTCTGCCCACTCCTTGGAGCCAATCACCGGCAAGTTCAAACCACACCTGGCAGGGACAGGACGCGCAGCAACACTACGTACGCCAGCTTCTAAACCCTGTCACCTCCCAGCTAAATAATGTCAGCGCTGCTGTAGCACCAAAGTTTGCCCATCCACCTCCACAGGCACCTGAAGCGAATTGACACTTATAGTAGACTTCAAGTGCTCAAAGAGTGGCACTCCGCTTTCTGCGCCTTGGAGCTGGCCATAAAGCCGCAACTACCCGTGGAGAAAAGCTTCGGCTCCGCCTCCGCTGGAGCTTCCCATTCGGGTAATAATAAGACGAATAAAAATGCAGATAATAAAACTACTGATGAATAATCATAGTAACAACAATAGTGACAATAACAGTACGAATAACAGCTATGACGGAATAATGGAAGAGAAAATGGAAACTCCTATAATGGGGGGTCAAGGCGGCGACCTTCAGCTGCTTGTCGCCGATCGTCACCTTAAAGCAGCAGCGAGCTGTTTTGCCAACTGCCGGATGAAGCCAAAAAAGCGCAGAACGAGGCAAAGGCAGTGATTGTTTTGGCTTTCTTCATGAACTCCTGCTCTGATGTCTCTGCTAGGCTTCAGGAGCTGCTGGGATTCTGGGCTTGGCTCTGTGCCTTTCTAGACATGCAGGAACTTTGGCCTTGGAGAGCCGGGCTTGCGAAGGCAACATGCTCAAGGTCTAGATGCCCAAATCTGACCGGAGTTCTTAGGACGGATCGATCTCGCAGCTTTCCTTTGCCTTTGCCTGCAGGGCTTTGCACAGAAAGTCGGCTACAGTATCCTGGCCCTTGCTTTTCGCAGAGCCTTCTTTGCCGCTGCCCGTACTGGATTTTCGCTTTTTCTCCTGCGTGCGCGGAGAAAAGTCACGCATATATGGCACCACAATTGGCCCCCGATATATCAGCTGGGCCTCTCGAGCTTTTTTGGACCCTTGCGATGCTGAGGGCTCTTTGGCCTGTGGCGTAGACCCGTCAACTTCACGTGGATCACCAGACTTCCGGTAGGCCTCCTCAGCTGCATCCTCCTCAGCCTCAGCCTCAGCCTCAGCCTGAGCCCAAGTCCCAAAGCTAAGCGTCTTGCGAGACTAGAAATATGACATGCTGCCTCCTCGCCATCGGGGTCGGCATCCTGCTTGGCCTGCAAGACTTCAACAGTAAATGTTTTGAGCAGTTGCCCTCGCCAAGGACCTCAAAGCAAAGGCCACAGTGCCGCTTCGAAGGAGGGGTGGCAGTGCAGAAGCCAGCCCAGCAATCAACGAAAATAAGTATTGACTTCAAAATGTTCAGAGCCGGCATGGAAATGCTAATTCGTAATTCTAATCCACTATACTTGGGCCGCGCTCTGTGATCGACCTGGGACTGCATCCGGGTGATCTCTGCCGCCACAAGCTCCTTCACCTGACATCTACGACCGGCGGGTTGGAGGCACAATCTTGTAAGCCTTCTATCCAGGATGCTTCTTGTTTGCTTGGGAAAGAACTTGGCCCGCTCTGACCAACACATCTCCCAAATCCAACAGGAAAACTACTTCGAAGCCTTGTCCTTTCTGCTGTCCAGAGTGCCGGCACCTTGCCCAGCCAGGCTGGATATTTCAAGGCGACGCTTCAAGTGAGAAGGCTGAGCTCCAGGCTCAAACTGAAGTGCTTCTCCAAGTCAGCACGCACCTCGCCAGTCACACTAGGAGGGCAAAGAGGGTCCGCTGCAAAGGTTGGATATGTTGGATGGATCCCTGCTGATGATGTCCTCCCCCATTGACCTGCCTGCTTGAGCGAAGTGCTTGCAAGGTCTCGGCCGCATAGCAGCACTTGGATCTGCTCCTCCAGCTGGGCATCCGTGACATCCCTGAGAGGACATGAACATACGCGCAGTGCGCACGGCAGGGTTTGAACGAAGTTGGAATTGTGGGAACTGGCTGCAAAATCTATGTAGCAGGCAGGGGCGGTCAAGAGGCTACCACTGCGGCTGCAGAGCTCTTGAATTAGTTTCAGCAGGTCACGTCCCCCACAGTTGGAACACGTATGTGGTCTTGTCTGAGCACCCAGCTTGGACGCCATGCCGAGCCCTCTGCGGCCAGCTAAATCCTATCAACTGTGTTACATGGCGTGCCCTGGTCACCTCGTGTTAGCTTTGCATTGCTGGTCTGCCACAACTTCTTGCTGCGTGCAGGACTCAAATTCCTTTGGCAATCCGGAAGATCGCTAGTCAGGCAAAGTGATAGCACCCGCCACCTTTCCTGAAGAGTGCCTTTATCAAACATGCGCTTTGTGTTTGTGTGTGCGAAGTTGCTGTTGAAAATGCTGCAGACGGCATCTTGCAGGTCGTGTTTCTGGGCGCAAGAGCACAGATTGGGGCCACTTGTGGTGGCCCAGGATTCACTTTCGGATTGAATCAATGTGCACTCTGCGTCTGGTGAAGCATTGCGGCCCGCGCCGCACCTGACAAACAGGCTGCGCAGGAGCTAGGCTGCTACATGTCAAGGCCCTCAGCAGTGTTCACTATGCCATGCTAGTGTTTAGTCTACCCGCCCATCCAACTTTCTGCTTCACATGTGGTCTGTTCTAGGGATGCTGGCCTATGAGCCCGGCATTTCGGCCCGCCGAAGCGATTGTTAGCCTCAGCTGCAGAAGCTTCTTGATGTAGACAAGCAAGATCAGTTACAAAAAAAAATCTGCAGGCTTCTGCTCGTGAAAGATATGCTAAGTTCAGCCCCAGTCAACTACGCCCATGCCTTACCGTCATAACCGTTCCTTCTTTCAGCAGCCCTGGGCAGCGCACTGTACGCGGACAGGCTCAAGGTTCCAGTGGTAGATTTCAAATTGCCTCCGTGAATATGGCATCGGCTGGAATGGGCATTGCTCTGCATGCCTGGGAACGATGTCTTGAACATGACATCAACCTCCTCAAGCGGCCGGCAGCGTCGTAGGCAAGAGCTGCAAAACTGTCTGGCATCAAGCCTGCCCTTTCAAACTGCACTGCACAAAGGAGAAGTTGAACTCTCCAGCCCCTCGTGCACATGCACCACGCTTTTGTTGAGTCCAAAGGAGACACGCTTGTGCCGACCGATAGCGCCGGCTTGAAACGAAAGTTGAAACTATGCTGCACATCGCTCCAAGGTATTGGAGGTGTGTAGCTTCTAGTTCATTCTAGTTCTTGTGATGATCCTTCATGATCCTTCAAGCACGTTACCAGAGATGCTACTGACACAACGGCACCGCGATTTTCCACGATGCAGGCTGCAGTCTTGCAGCCCTACCTCCCTGCTAATTACGTAGGATGCGGCTGATCTTCGTGTGCTACATGCCAGCAGGGTAGGCGCTGGCCAATTCCGAGAAATCAGTCTTTGGCAACGCAAACATCACCTCAGCGTGGGCCCCGGCCCCGGCTCAGGACAGCGTAGTAGGTGGTCCAACGTTTATATCATTTTCTATCCAGCTGCAAACTTGCCAACTGCCCAGTTGCCATCAAAGCAAGCACTCCGAAGGCAAGGCCGAAGGCGATGAGGCCTTTGCCAGCTGGAAGCAGGTTGGAGGGCTTCAGACAAGTTGCAGAAAACAAGCTGGAGAGGTTGAGTTCTTCCAGCCCTGCCCCACCTGCCCCGGCTTCGCTTCTCAATGACAATGGCTCGAGTCATGTGTTTTTCTGCTCCCAGTCGTGCATACAGGCAAGCACTGTACAAGGCCATCATGCAGGTAGTTGTTAACTAGGAGCTTGGCCCACAGGTTCTGAATAAGCATGCTGGACAAATGCTAAGAACATGAAACTGCGAAAAGGCTTCACGGTCTTGTCACCGAAGTGGCTGCACCGTTTGCCTTCACCACGATGCGTTATGCCCTGGTCAGGTGTGGATCGGCGTCAGCTTGCCAGCTTGGGCCAAGGCATCGTGAAGCTCCATCTTTGCAGCAACCACCTGCTGGTAGCATGCTCTGGGTATGCATTGGGGAGAAAAAGGCAAGAATCACAAGAACTTCCAATAACTGATAGTATGGGGGCCTAAACTTGATCAGGACGAAACCCGCCTCTCCTGGTGCGGATACCCCAGCACGGCCCAGCGTCCCATACCTCAGCTTTGTTGAGCTGAGCCAGCTATCTCCCAGCGCATCTTCGACAAGCCGAGCTGCAGGGGCGGCAGGATCACTACATTGACCACACAACCATCTTGGAGCCCGCAGGCCCTGCCCGCAATTTCTTTCTGTCACAACACGCTTGCGACTTCTACTTCACGCGGCTACTCACTTGACTGCACATTGCCGGGTCATATGCTGCCTGGCTGTCCATTCGTTCTTCAGAACCTCTCAAGGCCACGCAAAACCACTGATCGGAACCCGAGAAGCTGACTCACTGCCCTGTTTGGGGCCTGCCTCAGCCTCTAAAGCAAGCTTCACCCGGTGGGAGCTGATGCCTAACCTTAGATGCACATATGCCTAGCAGATGCTATTCCAGAAAATCACATGGGGGTTGTTCAATATTGTTTTTTCCCAAGAATTGTCTTTCATGCACTCTCGCACAGCAATTTCAGGCCCTCTCGCCATCATAACCCACAGACTGTTGTTTCATCGTCTCCCATCATCCAATAAACCGTCATACGTACTCACGTTTTAACTACGTGAACACAACTGGCTAGCGACCCACATTGCTAGGGAAACGTTTCGCAAACCCTTTCGTGTACTGTTTGCGCTCCTTTCGCGTATACCATCTTTCATATTCAACAGTCCATGAAACGACGTGCATTTTTGAGGAAGGAGCCTTTGAACGACCCCACAAGCTGCTTGCAGTGCGAGCGACCGGGTGCCCAGAGACATCCGCAAGCCTTCCACGCGACCATCCAGCCTCAGGCAAGCAGACGGCACACCCGATGTCTTTTGAACAAGTCGCATGTGCTGTGAAATCTTCAAAGGCACTCTATCTTCAATGAGAATTCCCGGCCATCCATGAGGACCGCCAGCACCTGGATAGTTTCGGCCGAGCCTCAGTTGAAAGCATACGTGAAAAAAGCATGGCAAAGCTCAATCATCTGAATCCAATTCATGGTGGTAATCTGCGGTCATGTGCTTCTTCCGAGAGGCGATCTCTTGTAAACCGGCTTCGGTGAATTTAATTCCCAACCCCATCTTCAAGTTGAATTCAAGACCCCTAGACCCAACCCTAAACGTTGAAGTGCTGTTTGGGGCCGTACCTAGGCCCCTTCGTTTTTGTTGTTTAAGCTAAACTGGAGACACGCAGGATGTTCCAAGATAAGTGATAAACAAGGTGGCTTGGCAGCTTAAGTAGTCCGTTCTGCCAAGAATAGCTTTAGTGACAGAAACCGAAAAGCAAAGCACGGACAGCGGAGCCTCCTTTTTTAAAGCGTTATGTCCAGTGGCAGGAAACCGGGGCAGCGACAGTTCAGTCACAGACCCGGTACAAACAGAACTGCAGTGAGCTACAGGCAGAACACACAAGAGACTGCGTCAACGCCCAAGATGCAACTCAAACCCGTGCCGTGAGGGGGATTGACCCGCAGGGACCAGATGCAGCCAAAACGCCACTCAAAACAGTGTACCAAACAGGGGATGGATGTTCAGGCCAGGAGGGTAGACCTGGATGACAGGCAGAGAACAAAGGGCGGACCAGGGCTGAGTACGAACCTGGTCAGGTTGAAAACCCAGTTGAACAAGGTCAGAAGAGCGACTCAGCTTGTAAGCGTGGTCATTCAGGATGCCCGGAATGTGGTTGATGTGGACCCGGCAGTCTTCCCGAAAACGCAAGAAGCGGCGCAGGGTGGCAAAGGCCCCTTGCAGCTCTCTCGGCCCTCAGCAGGAAGTCTCTATCTGGGTCGTCTGCTGCTTGTAGTATAGCTCGAATCAGTCTCAAGCGTAGCGGCTGCCCCGCAGCCTTTGTCTAGCAGGCCTTGGGTGCCCAGGTCCTGGGCCTGTATCCAGTCGCCCAATATCTTCAAGATGGACTCCTGTAGCTCGCCATTTTTAACCAGTTTGCAACCTTCCTGGAATGAGGTCGAATGCCACCATAAGGTGACTTAACCTCGTACTGTGTCCTGCACATTCTAACATACGTCTCTGCATCGCTCCGTTCCAAAGCTTGTGCAGTAAGTTGAGAAACCTTCAGACGACTATATTCCACATCAGTAACCAACAAATCAACACATCCAACTCACAACAAATAAGCCCACAACAGTCGAACATCGAGCTCACGAGTGGTTTGGGCAGCAGTATTTCTGCAGCAAATGTTCGGCATTTATGGACTTGAATATCAAAAGTGGGCGTGTAGCCGGATTTCCTTCTTTTGTTTCACTACTAGTGGAGGGGTCACAGTTCCCAGTCAGTCTGGATGGGCGGCTATGGGTATCTTTCGCGGTGGTTTAAAGCCGGTTTAGAGCATTTATGGAGTTGACTATCAACAGCTGGGTTGCCAGGTCGCTCCTCCTTTCCTGTTTCTCCGCGCGATGGGTTTGCTTTGTTCCTCTTGTGGTTTCTGCATGTTTTTGGGCTGGTTGTTTTGTTCTCCTTCCTTCTTCTTGGTTTTTGAGGTCGTTGTATCTCCCCTCCTCTCCTAGCTTCATCATCTTTTGCTGAAGAGTGTGGTGGGGGCAGTACTTTCCCCTCTCTCGTCCTGGGGCTGCGGGACGTGGGTGGGTGAGTCATAGTCATTCCCCCAATAGGGATTTGGAAACGGGAAATCTTGGGAATCGCCGCTCTTGATATTCTAGTCCATAAATGCTAGAAGCTCTCTGCAGGGACCTCCAATCAACGTTCCTAACTGATCTCCAGGGATCCGGCCAACCAACCCGACCATCACTTGACGAACACCAACACCCAAACAAGCAACCTACACAACCCCAAGTCAACAACACCAGCCCCAAAGAAACAAACACACCAGATAAAGTGGTGCCAGACAACTGCCCCACGACTCCCCCCAGTTGTAAGAGAAAATTGGAACGGTCTCTGATCGGGAGGCCGCCCGAGATCAGAACAGAACTTTGGAAAACGAATTCTGCATGCCAAGGCCCAAGACAGCAGGAAATTTGAATCGCGCGAATCAAGTCAGACTGCAATTTGCGATTGTGCCTCTGCGGTTCAGGGCCCCTCTCTGCTGGCGGCTTGCTGTTTGACGTCTAAGGCTTGGGTTGCATGACCCACCCCCAAACAGCACCCAGCATCCCACCATACCCCACACAATACCCTAACAGCACCCTGGCCGCAAACAGCAACAACCAATCCTGGACAGCGCCCCGGACAAAACCCAACGCCACCCTGGACAGCACGTGACAGCACCCTGGCCAAAAGCAGTGGAACAACACTCTGACACAGCACCCTGCAAGCACCCTAGCTGAAAGCATCGGCCACGAGCCACGGCACCCCAGACAGAATGACAAGAACCTAATGATCCCAATGTTGTGCACCTGCCCTGAACCCACATGCACCTGGCCAACGACCACTGACAACAACCCACGAGCACATGTGACTGATTGGATTTCCCATGAGGTGAGGGGACTTAATCCATCCGTCTTTACGACTGCATGTACTCCGCTTTGGGTTCACGTTTTTGCTTGAAAATTCTGCAGAAGACAATGCGATTACAGAAAATCAAACCTGGCCTATAAGTAACAGTAAAAGCCTCGAGGACCCAAACTCTGCCAACCGTAACCCGACGCTTGCCGGGGAATGTCATGTGAAACTCCGCCACCTGAGTCTATCAGTCGCGCCTGCAAGTTTCAGGAGGCTCCGATGGGCTTTACATTTAGGCATGCAATCTCCTATGGGTTCTTTGCCTGGTTGTCCAAGTGGCTTTGGCTGGGCCTCGCATGGTCTCGCAAGGCCCGTCAATGCATGCACTTGGGAAAACTGTAGTGGCGAGGCTTGTGCGTTGGCTATTCATCTCCGCTGGATTTTCCGCGATTCGGCGATTGAAACAATGACTCGACAGAAATTCAAGTGGGCTAATCTGAGTCATTTGTTGGATAGTGCCACAGTTTTCACAACATATTTTCCATGTGAGAGCGACTTTCGTTGGCTTGTAGTGGGTTTGAAACTGCAACAGCTGCTGGGCTTTCTGCAAGCCACATTCCTGTAGGCTTAGCGCAAAAAGCAAGAATGACTTGTCTCGTGCAATCTGCAGCCCCTATGGGATCTCGCTCCGCCACTAGGAGGACTGGCAAAAAACTGCCGCCGCCGCCACTTTACTGTTGCCTTACACATGTAAAGGTGGCCGCTCGATGCATGTTTGCAGGGAGTATCATCCAATCATCCCATCTTTAATCTACAATATCAACACTGCGCCTCTTTCTTATCCTTCCTTGTCGTTCTACACATGGGGGCAATCATGGGGGCCTTCTTTTGTTCTACACCGACTCGCTTGGAAACACCAGTGAGCTGAAACCGTGCAAATTCCTGTAGGCAGAAATGCCCGAGTCAGCATGAACACGCTACCTCAAGAACAAACAGGCCTCAGCACACAAGTGCATTGCAGCGCAAACTGCTGCTGTGCTGTAGAGAGCCTCCCATCATTCTTAATTTGGGCTTGAGACGGCAATGCGTTCAAAGGCAAGGAAAGCCTCGGCATCATTGTCACATACGTCACCTACGGGCACAAAACCCGTTTACGTCACA